CAATTCACACTTAGAGTCACTCATTGAAAATATTTCATTATGAAGAGATAGTCATATTCTATCCTCGACTATGGCATTTAGGAAGCCGCACAATGTAGTTATCAGATCAGAAAGGTATGAGTTAGCTGGAAGGGACCTCAGAGGCCATGTCATCTAGCACCCTCATTTTATGGGTAAGGACATAGGCAGGTGTCCTAGGAAGGGGAAATTACCTGCCCAAAGTCACACAGTTAACAAGAGGCTGGATTTGTTTGTTTTTGTTCATTGTTTATTTATTTATGCCCATTTTATTTAAAGACACATAGAATACTGGGGGGAAAGTCAATAAAGAGGAAGAGGGGAACAGAGGAGTGAGAAAGAATTAGAGAAAAGTGTGAATGTCCTGGCAAAAATAATAATTTAAATGTTAAAGTATTTTTAATCCCTCTCTGAAATAAAATGTTTCTAGAAGAGGCTGGATTTGAACCTAGGTCCTCTGACTTGGGCAGCTAGGGGGCACAGTGAGTGTTGGGCCTGGAATCAGAAGACCTGAGTTCAAATCTAGACCTGGACACTTACTAGCTGTGTGATCCTGGACAAGTCACTTCATCCTGTTTGCCCCAGTTTCCTCATCTGTAAAATGAGCTGGTGAAGGAAAGGACAAACCACTCCAGTATCTTTGCCAAGAAAACCCCAGAGAGTGGCATGGAGAGTCAGACGCGACTAAAACAATTCAACATAACAGCCTCTGACTTGAAAATCAGGGCTCTTTCTTCAGCTGTAAAATGAGTCAATCGGTCTAGATGGCCTTCGAGACACCCCCTTCTAGCACCACATCTCTGATCCTCCTTTAGCCACTTGCTACCTGTGTGTCCTTGGGTTAGTTGCTATAACTCTCTAGGGCCTAATTCTTCAGCTTTAAAATGAGGGGTCAAAGTGTGTTAGACTGATGACCTCTGGCCCTAAACCTATGATCACTCACAAGAATGGTGATAATCTCTTACTGCTCTAAATACGTGGCCATGAATCCAGAGACTTCAAGCAAATAACCTAACCTGGAAAGTAGGTACCTTCCTATGTCTGTTTCCAACCCAACCTATTGCAGCTAAAGGCTGGCAATACCTTTCAAAATATCATTTATCATTTTGGATTGTAGTACAAAGATGTAAAAATGAAAGAGTCTTAGGGGATATTTAGTCTGCTTCCCATTTTACAGATGGAGAAACTGAGGCATACAGGTACAAGGCAACTTGTCAAAGGACAGAGGCAATAAGGCACAGAGGCAGGATTGGAAAGCAGGCCTGATGGCTGATTTAGCACTGATGTCTCAGCAGGGGTATATTAGCAACATGAAAACAGTGGACATCTAGGTCTGTGAGGGGGTATCCAAAGTCTCCTGAGGAGGTCCCGTGCTCTCTCTAAAACACCATGTGGTTCCAATGGAGTCTATATTACTCAATAGCTATGTGACCCTGGGCATCAGCTTCCTAATCTGTAAAGTAAGATGGGAATATTTGTACTCCTGACCCCACAGGATCACTGTGCTTATTAACCCGTAAAATACCACTGTAATAATTATATTCATAATTATTATTTTCATAAATTCACTGCCTTAGAGCTACAAATCATCTTTAAGGTTATCTAGTCCAACCCCTTCACTTTATAGATGAGGAAACTGAGGCTCAGAAAGGCCTTAGCCCTTAGGATTTGTCCAGTGTTACGTAATTAGTCCATAGTTAAATTAGGATTAGCACTCAGGTCCTCTGACTCCCAAGGGAAGTAAGAAAACGGGTCTACTTTTTCTTTCTCCTTAATTACATTAAAAAAAAATCCATCTCATTGTACTTATATGCACTCCTTCTCCTCTACCTCTTAAAATCCCTCCCTTCCTTGCAAGCTCAGCTCATTCTCCAATGCCCCCATGAGGTCTTTCATGGTCCTCTCCCACCAAGCATCACTGCATCTTATGCTCTTCAATTAAGTTATAGCCGCAGCAAATTGGAGCAGCGGTTAGAGCCCAAGAGTTGGAGGCAGGAAGGCCCAAATTAAAAATTGGTCTTTGATACCTACTAGCTGTGTGACCCTGGGCAATTCATGACTCTGTGCCTCAGTTTTCTTGTCTGTAAAATGAGTCTAACAATAGCACCTACCTCATAGGGTTATTATGAGGATCAAGTGAGACAATATGTAAAACATTTTGCTAATCTTAAGGTGTTATATAAATGATAGCTGTTATTATTTTATTGTTGTTATTATTTACTTAGCACATATTTTTATTTATTTGTGCATGTAAAATGTAAAATGTAAGCTTTTTGAAGGGATGGACTTTTTTTTTTTTGGCTTTTTTTTGGCTTTGTATGCCCAGCACCTAGCATTGTCCCGAGCACATAGTAGGAGCTTAATAAGTGTTTGTTGATTGGTTGACTAAAGGAGACTTCCTATTGACATAGATACATTTTATCCAATTTTTCCCCCTAAAGATTACTATTTCTTGTCAATGTTTGTTTAGTCATGCTTCATTTGTTGGTACATTCTTTTCCAAACTTTTTGTAACAATGTCACCTTTGTTAGTTTATATAGTAACTTCCTACAAGACAGTAAGTGTTTCAACTTAACTGACTTGGTGGGTAAGAAACTCCCACCTAGAAGGGACCTTGGAGGCTCCCCTAGGGTGGTTCTCGATCTGTGGGCCTCCCACGTTCAGGAGGTGGAGGATGGCACAGAGACAGCGCTTGGACAAACACTTGTGATTTCTGACGACCATGCAGCCTCATCTACTTTCCCTCTGCCAAGAGCCCCTTTTCACACACCCTCAGGGCTCAGCTGGGAGACCCCACACTCACATTATGGCATTCTTTTTTTTATTAAAAAAATTTTGTTTTTATTTTATTCTGAATAAATTTAGGCAGCCAGATCTTTAGGGCTGCTGGGGTGCTTTTCTTATGCTCCACTGCCTCCTTCCTCAGCGTTAACAGACCCAAGACAAGAAGCTAACGTGCCTGGTGAAGTCAGCCTGGCTTGGGTGGGGCCAGGTAACAACGAAAACTGAGGTCAGCTCAGTTATTTCAGGCCCTTCACCTGGGCCTGAACAAATATACAAACAGATAACTAATCAAACCAATCTGTTCTCGGCTGAATAGGGGACTTCTCACGCTTTAACAAGCGCGCTTTAAAGACCTACTATCTTGTACATATGTGTGTTTCGGGGGGTTTAAGAGCCATGGTTCTGTCATTGTGGAGGGATTCCTGGTATGGAAAGTCCATCTGCTGATGCCAAGCAGCAACTTAGTCTTAAAGAGTTGGAAGGATGGATCAGAAGAAGACACATGAACCTAAGCCTTCTCGACCCCAAGGTCAGCCCTGATATTACAACCCATGATATCACATTGCCTCTCCGGATCTATAAGGACCAGGCTTGTCATTTCACTGGGATAGGGAACTTCCAGGTCAGGAAATTCCCTCCACCAATGCAGGCCAGTACCTCCTCCACAATGAACTGTGTGCCAGAGCAGCTTAAAGCAGCTCAGATGCATTTATGACTACTTAAAAATATATGTAGCTCTTTTTGTAGTGAGTAAAAGACAAATTCATTTAAAAGCATTCTGCAAATCACAGAGGCTCTTTGTCATAGCATATGTTCTCAATCTACAGACACTCATTTCCAATGACTCTCGCTTTAATATGTTACTCAATCACTCCATGAGCATTTATTAAGCACCTACTATGTGCCAGGTACTGTACAGGCACTGTGCTGTGTGCTGGAAAGAGCCGAGAACCCCTCATGTGGCCCAATCCCCACTCGAAGCGTCAATCCTGCTATGACATCTTTGACAAGTGAACAAGTTAAAAGACAGGAGCCACACTTTGATCAGACAACAGTGAAAATGTTCCCTACAATAGTGATTCTACCATTTTCCTGGAAATTACCCATAGCCGTGACCTCAAAGAAGGATATCCTCCTCACTTTCCCCAATCCATCTCTAAAGTGAAGCAGCCAGTCCTGGCCCTCTTAAGTGGATAATGCTGAGCAGGATTTAATCTTTTCCTGATAACTCGATGTCCTAAGGTGAGGCAGTGGGGCACTCACTCTGTGTGGACAAAGAGCTAGCCTTGAAGTCAGGAAGACCTTCCTAGCTGGGTGTCCCTGGGCAGGCCACTCAACCTCCCTGAGCCTCAGTTTCCTCATCTGTAAAATGGGGGTAATAACCCTTTCATGCCTACAGTTCATGCGTATCTGATTAGATCTAGCATGTTAAGCATTTCACAAGCTGGAAAGTGCTAGATGAATGGAAGCTGCTTTTGTGCTCACTAATGCGTGCATATTTCAGTCACAGTGACTCTTAAAAACCACCTAACAAGCCATACAGGGGTTGCTCTCTGTTTTAATGGCATGAGTGTCCATCCCAGTGAAACAACATGTTTCTTTTCTGTGCCAGATCTGAAATTTCATCCAGTTGTAGAAAGTGGAAATTCCCTCCACGGATGCAACTGTAGTTGCACCAAGCAACTCTTTAAGGTTATAGAAATTGTAGATAGCTCACAACCTATATTAGGGTATAGAGTTCCCACACCAAAGAAATCACAGATCCATGTTGTACTGAAATAAATATTCTATCTACGTATCAGTGCATGATAATAGCCTCCATTTGTGTAGCACTATAAGGTTTGCAAGGTTCTTTACAAATATGATCTCATTTGCTCATCACAATAACCCTGGAAAATGGGCACTATTATTATTTTCATTTTACAGATCAGAAAACTGAGGCAAGGGTTCACTGACTGAGTTAAGAATCACATAGTTCATAAGTGTCCAAAGAATGATTTGAATTTAAGTCTTCTGGATTTCAGGTCCAGTGTTTTATAAACTAGGTCACCTAGTTCTCCTGAGAATGTTTTAATATCTAAATTTTAAAGTAAATATCTAAATGTTTATTTATTAAAGATCTAAAATTTTAAAATATCTAAAATACAGAAGAAAGCCCAAGAAAAAGAATCATATAACAATTTCCCAAGAACCTTACCTCATCCACCACCTTGGAAAAATAGTGGAGGGTGGTTATGACTTCTTCATCTCCTTTGCCAAGAGCAAAATTCTAAGATAAAAAATAAAAATAAAAAAGAACCAGGTGTTATCAGAGTGCCATGGGTATCAGCAATAGAATAAACACAGTGATTCCACGACACTGCCTTCTGCCTTTGTAACTGGCTCCTTCTTTCTCAAATGAAGATAATCATGATGAACAAGATCGGGGAAGGGTTCCTTCAAAGATAACTGTGCTTTAGAACTGGGGAAGCCTTCCTTGAGTAATGAGAAGAGACGGTGTGAGTTCTTCTCTATCCTACCCCATCATTACATGCATTTTTCCTGACACTGGCTGCCCCATTATTGGCCCTCCTCCTCCTCCTCCTCTTCTTCCTCCTCCTCCTCCTCCTCCTCCTCCTTTTTTTTTTGGTTAGGCAATGGGGTTAAGTGACTTGTCCAGGGTCACACAGCTAGTAAGTAATATATATCTGAGGCCAGATTTGAACTCAGGTCCTCCTGAATCCAGGGCTGATGCTGTATCCACTGCGCCACCCAGCTGCCCCACTCATCCTTCTTCTTGTAAATGAACCCTAATGGAATTCATTTACTCACTTATTTTATCAACTCCTCCAATGTTGGTTCAGTTGTCCATAACCTTTTTTCTTTGGACTGAAGCTGTACTTTCACTGGTATAGGGAACTTCCAATGAGGAAGAAAATCTTTTTACCAATGTAGGTCAGCACTTTCTCTGTAACTTTACTTTTAGAGAGTTGCCTGGGAGTAAAATGACCTGTCCAGGGTCACATAGCCAGTATGTCAGAAGCGGGAGTTGAGCCCAGGTCTTGCTGACTCTGAGGCCAGTTTTATCCACTATGACATATTGTCCCTCATCTACAATGCTTTTGATCTATTCTAGTCAGGGCTATCTCTCTGAAATAGTAAATTATTAAAAGGTAGGAGAGGGTCTCTTAAATTGCTTGGTGTGCCTTTCAACCTGGGCCCTTCACAAACTCTTTGCTGTCATTTTCAGGAAGCATTCATAGAACACATAATGTGTGCTTATCAAGTATGATAAAAAAACTTCAATCTCCTAATAATTATTACAGAGAACATTGGTTTGGAGAATTCCATTATGAAATCCCCCTTACCTATGCCCTTATCAAGTCACTAGAATGGAAACACCTGGAGGGCAGGAAGAGTTTCATTTTTTTCCTTTGTATCTCCAGTACCTTGGACAACACCTAGAATACAGAAGGTGATTAATAAATGCTTATAGGATTGAACTGAATTGAATCAAATTACCTGTTTCTCATAGGCCAGTAGCTGCTTGGAAAGTTGCTGGGTGGCTAAGCACATTTCATTCTGTAGGAAAAAAAGAGATACTGATGTGAGTTTAAAGAGCCAGCTCAGCTCTTTCCTTACTGTGGGTGTCAGATTCAAGGCACATTTATGGCTCCTTCATTTTATTTTTTCCTTGATTATGGTCAGTTAGGAGAGCCATTGTGGTGTAGTGGGCTAAGGGATTGCCCTGGAGTCAGAAAGTTCTAGGCATAAACCCAATTATTAATTCCCTTTCTCCCCCCACTACCACAAGCTGTCAACCACAGTGGTCTCACTGCCCTCCTTGGCACCAATCAAGCAACAAGCTGAATTTGATTCTTCCTTGCCTTTGGAACTGGGCTGGCAAGAGCTCCAAAAAGCAATGGAAAAACCTGTCACCGATCTCCTGGCATCAGATTGCATCACCGGGCAAAAGGAGAAAACAATAATTTGCCACTCAACTCCACCTCCCTTGGACCCAAGTAAAGAAAGGGTCAGGACAGTACATGCGAGCTTCTCAGGAAAGCTTGGCAAAGCATCCATCCCTTTGCCATATGTCACTGCCAAATGCCCCATGATCTGTTTCTGTTGGTTAACAACAATAATCACAACAACATCTCACATTTACACAGCACTTTTAGGTTTGCAAAAGGCTTTTACAAATATTATCTCCTTTTCACCTCATAACAACCCTGGAGGTGAGGTTCTATTATTATCCCCATCTGACTGATGAGGAAACTGAAGCTCAGACAAGACTTGCCCAGATCACACAGGGTGGTAAGTTCATAGGCCCATAGACTTAGAGACCTTCAAGGTCATCTTGAGAGGCAGAGTGGTAGAGTGGATAGAGAGGCCTGCATATGGAATCAGATAAATTTTAAAAACGGAGTTCAATTCCCACCTCAGACCATTCCTAGCTCTGTTTGATTCACTTAAAGCTGTCAAATGATGGAGTCAGACTCAGTGATCTCCAAGGTCCCCGCCAGCTCTAGCTCTACGATCCTCTGATACCAACCCTAATTTTACAGATGAGGAAACTGAGGTCCAGACAGTTGAAGCAATGTTCAGGGTCATACAGCTAATAATACATAGGTTCATGGGTTCACAGACTCAGAGCTGGAAGGAAATTTAGACTGATTTTACAAATGAGGAAACTGAGGCATAGAGAGAGAGGATAAATAACATGTCCAGGGTTACACAACTAATAAATTCATAGGTCAGGAGGTCCACAGACTTAGAACTAAAAGAGATCTTAGAAGTCACCTAAACTAATTCCCTCATTGTACAGATGAGGAAATTGAGGCCCAGAAAGGTCATTTGCTGAGGGTCAAGAGCTAGGAAGTAACTAAGGTAAGATTTGAACCCAGGGTTACCTGACTCCAAAATCAGTCCTCTTTCCATTTCCAGGCTACTGCCCACATTTGAGGCTGGATTAATGAGGTTTTCCTGGTTTAGAGGCCAGTGTGAGTGTGATCGTTCCCCCAAAAAACTTCAGTATGTAAGACAAATGAGCACCCTACTCCATTAGTGTTCTTTTATTGACAGTAAAGGAAAAGATCAGAATATCTATTGCCACTTATCCACCCAGCAAAAGCATCTTTTCTGATCAAAAAGCATAGTAGGATGTCTTTGGACACAGTTTGTTGCTTTAGGCCAACTTGAAATTTGTTCATGTCAGATCTACTGTGTCTGCAGGATTTACAGAGCTCTCACCTACTGCAGCCAGTGAATCCACAGCCTGTGAGGTGACAGCAGCATTATGCCTTCCTCCTCTCTTCCCTCCCTCCCTCTCTCTCTCCCTTCTTCCCTTCCCCCTTCTTCTCTCCTTCCTTCCCTTCCTCCTTCCTTCCCTTCCTCCTTCCTTCCCTTCCTCCTTCCTTCCTTCCCTTCTCCTCCTCCTCCCTTCCTTCCTTCCTTCCTTCTTCCTTCCTTCCTTCCTTCCTTCCTTCCTTCCTTCCTTCCTTCCTTCCTTCCTTCCTTTTTTCTTCCTTCCTTCCTTCCTTCCTTCCTTCCTTCCTTCCTTCCTTCCTTCCTTCCTTCCTTTTCTTCCTTCCTTCCTTCCTTCCTTCCTTCCTTCCTTCTTCCTTCTTCTTCCTTCCTTCCTTCCTTCCTTCCTTCCTTCCTTCCTTCCTTCCTTCCTTCCCTCCCTCCCTCCCTCCCTCCCTCCCTCCTACTCTAAAACTCCATATTACCCAATATTCTGCGTGATAACCTGACTTGATTGATTTTCATCTCATGTTCAGCAATATTCATTCTGAAATTTGAAAATCTTTTAGTGACTAGAGGATGTCATTCATTCTGACACATAGTGGTTGTGTAACCATGAGCAAGTCATTTAAGCTCTTAGTGCCCCAGAGAACTCTCTAATACTGTCTGGTGCTTAGCATAGTGCCTGGTACATAGCAGGAACCTAATAAACGTTTACTGATTAATTACAGAAAACTTGCTCACCTGCATTAAGAGATGAAGCTTGTACAGGCCAATGAAATTATGAATCTGGGCTCTTCCTTCCCCCATTCCTCTACACAATGATTCAATGACTGGGTAACCCTTAAGGTCCCTCTTAGGGTTTCCTTTCATTCAATTTACCTCAATTTAAGAAGTGTCAATGCTGGGTGCTGGGAGAGAGGGAGTCGGAGGGAGGGAGGGGAAGAGAGAGAGAGAGAGAGAGAGACAGAGACAGAGAAACAGAGGGAGAAAGAGAGAGAGAAATCATCTCTGCCATAAGAAACTTCTGTTCAGCACCAGCCACCTTCTTTATGAGGCCCCTCTGATCTCTCAACTGCTGGTGCCTCTCCACTCCCAAGATATTTTGTATTTATTTACATTATAATAATAACTGTTAGCATTTATACAGAGCTTTAAGACTTGCACAAAAAGACTTTGCATATTTTATTAAGCACCTACTATGTGCCGGTCACTGTGCTAAGTGCTAGGGCTATACAGAAAGGCAAAAGAAAGTTGCTGCCCTCAAGAAGCTCATGGTCTAATGTAACACATCCTTTGATTCTCCCAACCACGTGAGATAGGTGTTACTGTTACCTCTGTTTCCTTGGTGAAAAGACCAGGGCCCAGAGAGGCTACCTGAGGTCCCCAGGGTTACAGAGCCAGTATCTAAGGCAGAATTCCCACTCTTTAACTTCTTAATTCCAAGTCTAGTATTCTAGCTATCTACTTACATACTTGTGGTTATCCTATGCTTCTGCATCTCCCTCTTATCGATAAGACCCTTCAGGGCATGGACTGTTCTGGCTTTGTATTTGTAGCCCAGTGCTTATTATGATTGATTGATTGACTGATTGACTAACTCTGTATCTGGAACTCAGGAACAGCCACCCAGATGCTCTGTTAATCCATCTAGCAAGAATACCAGTAATTCTTCTATAGACTTTTACTATGGAAAATAATAGGACAAAAGGCACAGCCAGGGTTAATAGCCCATGTCAAACACCAGCTTCCCTGACTAGTGGCTGGCAGAAGAGGAAAGATAAGCTATTAGCAAACCTGAAAGAAGAACAGAGCTGCTGGCAAAGGGCTTATTGATCTAGCTGCATACTGGAGGGCTGATGGTGGTTGTGATCCAGAACCACTCAAGCACTGTTGAGTTGAACTGATCACAAACTGTTTCTGTGCTTCTAGGACATGGGATTTCAGTCACATGGGCCCTTCTAGTGGTGCAGATCACCATCCTTAGGACAGTTTTGGGAAGTTGCTATGGCCAAATGCTCCATCTTCTGGTTGTTGACCTTTCCTTAGGAAGCCTCTTGGACCTTAGCTAGGCAGTGTGATGATTAAAAAGGTTTAAGAGACATGGTTTCTGGGTAATTAATCATTTTATTAATAAAGGCAGCAGGTTATTAGTAAAAGGATGGTCATTTGGCCGTCTTTCTTAGACCAAAGACCCCTCGCGGTAGTGGGGCACAGTTTACATGCCCTTTGAAGAGTAGGTGTGGCTATATTACAAGGGTCTTGGGATACGTGACCTGCGTCACCCAAATCTTGGTCAAAGAGACATCAATTTCCATATCAGTTGTCTGACAAGAGAAGACCCACATTTCCCCAGACCTGGCTAAGCAAACACAATGGCAGGAGCACACCCGCTAACTCAAACTTTGAATTTCTTTTACTGTCTGTTAAGATCTTGGTCTGGGCAAATCTTTGAGATTTCCCATACTTGTTGATTTCTGGATGAGGAAGCAGAAAGGGGGAAAAACCCTGGTCCTAATACAATAATCAGTTATTGAATATAAGAGAGAAATATTCATTTCTCCCGGCAAGACCTTGGTTTGTACATCCAGACTTTCCTGCTTGGTAGAATGTAAGCTCCTCGAGGGTAGGGACTGTTTCATGCTTTGTATCCCCAGCACCTAGCACAGTACCTAGTATACAGCAGGTGCTTGATAAAAGCAGACTGACCTACTGATGGATTGCTAGGATCCACAAGAGTTTAGACTCTACTGGCACAGCCTCCTTGATCCCAGGTTACCTGCAGGCCATGATGAGGCCTCGGGGTAGAGATTTACTGGAGGAAGGGATCTTAGAGGCTACTGAGTCCAACCCCCTGAGACTCGGGGAGGTAAAATGACTTACCTAAGGTTATACTGCTATTCTGAGCAGGCAGGACCTCAGTGCAGGGCTTCCTGACTCAAGTCCAAGACTCTACCCACTTGTGCTCCCTAGCTTATGAACACTTAGCACAGTGCCTGGCACACAGTAGGTGCTTAATAAATGCTTATTGACAGGCTAATTGACCTAGTTGCACTCACCAGCTCTCTTCTGAAAGTGCTTTGCTGGCATTTCCTATTGAGCCATGGATCACAGAATCATAGCTGGAGAGCTGGAAAGGATTACAGGGCTGTACTGGTAAATGTTTAACAAACAGTACTTTGGGACATGCCTGCAAAACACACTTGGAAGTTTAACCTGCATTACTCACACTCTTTCCATCACTTTCTTACGTCTAGCCAAGCAGCAAATCAGTTGGTCAGTAAAGCTCTGATCTGTAGCCCTGGCTGATTTCTGAGGTGTCAATGCTCACAATG